TAAATAAATAAATAAATAAGATGTGACAACCATTTGTCCGAAATGGTATAGGGTTTCCTGCCTGAGCAGGAGGTTGGACTAGATGACCTCCGAGGTCCCTTCCAACTTTATCATTATTATTATAAATTGATTCTTTTGCAATCTGTACTTCTTCCCCCTTTTCCATCGCTTTCAAACCCCATCTTGATCCAAACTATTATAAAAGGTCTCTAGTTACCTCAGAAGAATTAAGACCTCTGGGCCTCTAATCTCTCAACCTTGGCAAGTTTAAGACTTGTGGACTTCAACTCCCAGAATTCCTCAGCCAAAATGGCTGGCTAGGGAATTTTGGAAGTTGAAGTACACACAGCTTAAAGTGGCCAAGATTGAGAAACGCTGTTCCAGACAGACTGTTCATTTTACTGTTTAATTTTTTTAAAAAAAAAAAATCTTTGAATTAATCTCTCCAGTCTAAAGCCATGCACAGGTAGTGTACATTATCATTATCCCTAACCCAGGGGTAGGCAACCTTGGCTCTTTTATGACTCGTGGACTTCAACTCCCAGAATTCCTGAGCCAGCATAGCTGGCTCAGGAATTCTGGGAGTTGAAGTCCACGAGTCATAAAAGAGCCAAGGTTGCCTACCCCTGCCCTACCCCCATTTAGTCTCAAGAACAGCAGGCAGTGGAAACCTGCTGTTGCCTGCTGGGAGTGTGCTGCCTATCACCTGTATACTACTACATATCTTCTAGAGCAGGGGTGTCGAACTCGCAACGTCACGTGATGCGACGTATCGTGACTTTTTTTTCCATTGCAGGCAATGGGGCGGGCGCCATTTTGGCATGACGCATCCGGCCCGCAGGCCGGCAGTTTGACACCTCTGTTCTAGAGGTATATGCCATACCCCTAGGACTGGCCTAGGGGTATTTTAAATTGGTTTTAACTAAATTTTAGTAGAAGCGGCCTATTTAAATATTTATTTTTAATTATTCTCTTAAATTTTGTATTTTGTATTTGTATCAAACTGTTTTTAAACTGGCTGTAAGCCGCCCTGAGTCCTCCGGGAGAAGGGCGGGGTATAAATATAATCAATCAATCAATCAATCAATCAAATCAATCAATTTAACAGAATCTGTCTCTAGCTTTTTTTTTTTCCCCTGCCGTTTTGCAAAAGTTTTCATAGAGCATTTTCACCCCAACGCTTTGTTTGCAGGCTACCAACTTCAATTGCTGGTCTTCACTCAGCTAAAAGTGTCTCTCCCTTGAGGAAGGCTAAGGTTCTTTATGCAACTCAGCCTGCTTGCATTATATGTCAGAGTTGAAGAGGTGGGGAAATGAGAATCGCTCAGAAGTGGCATTTTACTAAGCATGGTTCGGCATTAACAGGCTTCTATTAGCTTTTATCTTGGTTTGAAATAAGGGTAGACAAACATAAAGACCACATAGGGTATCCGGATAGGTTACAAAAACGAGAACACCATACAACAACAACAAAAAAAATTCAATGTTTAGAATACAGGCACAGAGAACTGCAATCTTAAACAGCTTATTTTTAAGCAGAAATATTAAGGCTAACCCCTCTGAGAGACTTTCCTAGCTCTGCTGGCCAGCTCAGGCTTCTTAGTGGTAGGAACTTAGCTGGTGGCCACCAGGTTGCAGAAGGCAGCCTTGAAAACGTGATAAACCCAAACACTGTCTTAAGCCTCGGACAATAGAAAGGCCATTTTTATCTTTATACTACGTTGCTTAGGCATTTATTTTATGGCTGAATGACACAGTTTTAATACTAGACAGTGAAGCAGAGCGTCAGCATGCAGGTTGATAAGAACCTACACTATAATACCCCCTGCATCTGCAATAGCTAATCAAACCAATTATCCCTCCAAATTCTGTGATGTTTTATCTCAGATCCCTCAAAATCTAAGGAAGGCTTCCTTCAGGCATTATTAAGCCTGAATTCAGAATTTGTACCTTGAAGAATTTGGACCTGGGGGATAGAGCAGATGCAGAATAATCTTATGTTGTAATGAAACAAGGAGAATAAGCAGGGGCATTTGAGCTTATGCTGTTTTAGTTCAGTTTTTCTCTCAGCTTCAGATGGATGGACTAGATTTCAGGGGTAGGCAACCTTGGCTCTTTTATGACTTGTGGACTTCAACTCCCAGAATTCCTGAGCCCACCATGCTGAGGGGAAAGGGAGAGGTTTCCAAGCTGAGCCAGGCTGGCTCAGGAATTCTGGGAGTTGAAGTCCACGAGTCATAAAAGAGCCAAGGTGGCCTACCCCTGGACTAGAACGTGTCACGTTTCCCCGTTTTCCACCCAACTAGAACTACAAAGGAAGCTGACTAGTTCCCTTCCTCCCCATCGACCTCCTTCTTCTCCTGCCGCTTCCCCCGCCCCACCATATCCTCCCCCTCAAGAACACACATTTGCTCAACACACAAACCAAGTGCACACACTCTCCCGCCTCCAATTGAGATGGTGTGATAACTACCTCGGGCGACAGGGACTCGGGCCTATGCGCAGGGGTACTCTCAGGGGAGGATACGTTCTAGGAGGGAAAAGCATCTTGTTATTCATCTAATTTTACAAGTCAAGAGGCAAAATAAAATAAAGTGAAAAAACAAAACAAAACAAAACAAAAACAACAACCTCCAAGCACAGAGGTTAGCCACAGCTATTCTGGAGCAAAAAAAAGAAAAAAGAAAAGAAAAAGAAACTCTTCTGGGGAAGTCCTCAGGAGTTGCGGGGGGACGGGACTACAAACATTACACAGACTTTAGGAGAAGAGTTATTGTTATCTCATGCTACAATGTCAGGCCCAAATCAAAGAAATCAGGATGAAGTATATTTTTTTTAACTTTATACCTTATGTCTAGACCAGTGGTTCTCAACCTTTTTAATGCCGCGACCCCCAATCGGGCGTAAGTCAAGGACTAAACCGGTCGTAAGTCGAGGACTAAACCGGTCGTAAGTCGAGGACTAAACCGGTCGTAAGTCGAGGACTACCCAACCGGTCGTAAGTCGAGGACTTTCCCTGCCCGGGAGCGCCGCGCATGCGTGGTTCCGCCCCCCTGCGCCGGCCGAGGCGTAGCTGGCAAGCGGCAGAGACGGAGCAGGCCGACCACCAGCTGGCCCAGCCCAAGGGAGGTAAGGCACCCGCCGGAAAAGGGGAAAAAAATGGTGGACAGCCTTGCTTGGTGACCCCCATGAAATGGTCGATCGACCCCAAATGGGGTCGCGACCCATAGGTTGAGAACCGCTGGTCTAGACCTCAGAGAATCAGCCTGAACTCGCACAGGACCTTCTTGAGTGACAAAACCCCAAACAAGCCCCTACTAATACACAGCCAAGTCAGAACTGACTTTACGTAGCCTTGCTGCCAGGGAGAGCTGAGGGAGGGACTGAGCGTAGGAGCTTGCTGGACTGAGCCAAAGGGATTGAGCCAGAGCGCTCCCAAAGAGGCCAAGAGGAAGCTTAGAAGCAGGCCATGGAAACGTTAACTTCTTGGTCTTGGGAGCTCAGAAACTGGCACTCATGAAGGCAATGTGGAGTATTCCTGAACTAGTGGAAGTATCATGCAGGAAAGCCTGCTTCTCCAATGGGCAACCCCAGTGGACATGAAGTTAGCTTGCTCGCTTCACAGTGAGAAGATGGACGTGACCATGTAAGAAAGGTTTCTGGGGGGCACGCTATTGCATTAAAACTTTCCTTAATGTAAGTATTAAATTATTTAGATATACACAAGGGCTGGGGATGTTCTTTCCATCCTGTGTTGTATGCTGTGGGGGATTAGGCTGCCCTCAAACTCTGCTACCAATCATGAAAATCAGGGAAGTGTTGTGGATTGAGTGCTGGGCCAAGAGTGGGGAAAATGCAAGTTTATATTCATACTCAACCATAATCTTCACTTTATGGCTCCGCGTGAGTCCTCATCTTATGACCTAACTAACCCAGGGGTAGGCAACCTTGGCTCTTTTATGACTCGTGGACTTCAACTTCCAGAATTCCTGAGCCAGGAATTCTGGGAGTTGAAGTCCACGAGTCATAGAAGAGCCAAGGTTGCCTACCCCTGACCTAACCTATCTCGTAGGCCTCGGGGGATATTAAAATTGAAAGCTGGAACGCAGGTAGTCCTCAACTTACAATAGTTTGCTTAGTGACTATTTGAAGTTAAAACGGCACTGAAAAAAACGACTTATAACCGTTTTTCACATTTACGACCGTTGCAACATCCCCACGATCATGTGATTTACATTTGGATGCTTGACAACTGACTCACATTTATGACTGTTACAGTCTCCCGGGGTTATGTTATTACCTTTTGCCACCTTCTGAGAAGCAAAATCAATGGGGAAACCAGATTCACTTAACAACCGTGTTACTAATTTAACAACTGCAGTGATCCACTTAACAAATGTGGCAAGGAAAGATGTATAAAATGGGGCAAAACTCCCTTAACAAATTTCTAACTTAGTAACATAAATTTTGGGCTCAACTGTGGTCATACGTTGAGGACTACCTGTACTATATACGTTGACTTGAACTTCTATAGGAAAGGCAGAAAAATACTAATAAAAAAATATAATCAAAGGATAAAAGAGCAAAAATGTATGCTCTATAACAGTGTTTCTCAACCTTGGCAACTTTATGATGTGTGGACTTCAACTCCCAAAATTCTCCAGCTAGTGTTGCTAGCTGGAGAATTTTGGGAGTTGAAGTCCACACTTTGTAAAGTTGCCAAGGTTGAGAAACACTGCTCTATAACCTCTTAATTACATTACAAGGGATAAGTTTCCACTTTCTTTACTTCAAGTATATCCCAAATGTTCTGTTCCTAGAGTAATTTAATTCAAATATGGGAGCCAGGAATTCATTACGTTAGAAAAGAAATTTCACACTACAGGTTTCTCCCTGAGCATAATTTCCAGAATTATACAAATGATATACACATGACATACAGGAAGATTTGCTTAAAATGACCTCACACTGCTCCAGGCTAGTTTGGAAGTTTATTTCACAACTGGGTATAATAAGGGATCAGCAAAAATTTAACTAGTAGCACCAGTTCAGATGACTAAGAGTCTCAACTACGGCACTGTCTTAATATGCAATATATTTTCTTCAACAATAGTATGTGTACAATTAAATGTGACACTAGTTGTTAAACTAGTTTGTTTCCTCAAACTATATGAGCTGATTTTTGTGGAGTCACTGCGTTTTGTGCTTGTTGTGTATATTTGATTTATTTGGCTTGGCTTAATAGCCAAATTTGGCTTGGTTTGAATTTGTTTAATGTGCTGATGTTTAGGGATACACTAATAATGTTTTACTCAATGTTTATTTTAATTTACCTTCATACATATTTGCTTTAATTGACACTGGACCTATGAATTTATAAACTTGTGTGCTGCCTGTATTTCCAGACAGAATTTTAGAGACCTGATGTTTAACAATTGTTTGTTGAATAGTCTTGAAAAGGCAGCAGAGAACAGCTTAAATAAAATCAAATGCCATAATGAGCAGACTAAATAACAAAGCCTCAGTACAGAAAACGTAGATGGGGGAAATCTTTCTTACAAAAATACAGGATGGGAGGACAAAAGACTCATATATAGAAAAAAGCAGTAGTTTTGCTTCTGCCAAAGATGAAAAGCTTTGTGAACTGACTAAGACTGATTCTGACAACTTCTCCTCCGCTGCCAACTTCAAATTAGCAGTGCTTCAAATTGGGAGCACAAGCTGCCTCAAAATACAATTTCCTACCACCTTCTCATGGCAGTATCTGTAAGACTGGTTGGGTTAAGAGGCCTCAGTGAAGTGTGATACTGTCTATGGCAGTGTTTCTCAACCTTGACAATTTTAAGGCATGTGGACTTCAACTCCCAGAATTCCACAGCCAGCAATGCTGGCTGTGGAATTCTGGGAGTTGAAGTCCACATGCCTTAAAATTGTCAAGGTTGAGAAACACTGGTCTATGGAGCTACAATTAACAGCATATTTATTTTTAAAAATGAAACAAATACGCTTATACTGTAACTCTTAAACTCTTATTTTTTAAAAGAAACAGTTCTTGACGATTTCTTGGGAGTAGTTTTGTGGCTTTCTCACACATGAACATAGATTTGAGAGTATCTGAAAAATGCAAAATGCGAGAAGGCAGAGGTTGAACAAGAAATGGGACCCCTGCCGTCTTCTGGGCAACAGTAAGAGAATATACCACGAAGAACTAGTTAAAACTGCCAGTTCTGAAAAACCAATGAAGGAAAACTGGTTTGTAGCTTGGGGTTGACATGAGGGGTCCTTGGTGCTCTCTGAGCTTGCTGGTTTTCTTGCAGACGTTTCAATACCCAACCTAGGTAACATCATCAGTGCAACAATGTCACTAGCTAGTTTGGGTAATGAAAAGTCTGCAAGAAAACATGCAAGCTTATAGAGCACCAAGGACCCCTCAATTCTGAAAAAAAATAAGGTTTCTGTTGTAATTTAAAGACAACAGAAATTAGATTATGAAGTCATGTAGTTGTTTTTAGTGATTTTTTTTTTTGTAATTGCAAAGAACCCAAACCCATCCCTAACAGTGAGCAGCTGAAGCTGGATCATAAGGTATGCTAACATATGTAAGAAACAAGGGTCAAAACATCTGAATCCTCAATGGTGACTGATTCGGCAATCAGGAGAATATTGTTTCCATCAGGTTCTATTAAGAGGAGTGGCAGATGCAAGGATAGCCACATCTTCCAATACTGAAATTTCAAATCCACCTCACACAACAGATGGGACATAATCGTGGGACACTTGAGAACGAACACATCGACTCTGGGTTGTTCTGTAAGGAACCTACAAAACGACACGTTCACATCTGTCTTAAAAATCTAAATGTTTGCAAAAGGTTTGAAAAACAAGAGGCAAATATGAAGAGAAGGATAATCTGATGCAGATGGCAAAACATGGGCTCCGTTGTTGATTTACTAGGCAATGCATGTGGGGGATAAGGATTCTGTGAACTTGGCAATATAAGTACCAACAAAGTGGAGAGGGGAAGAGAGTTCAAGCAGTGATTAAAAGGATATGAGAGGGAAGACTAATACCAGTGACTCTAATATATATAGCAATAAGGGAACAGATAATTCACCCTATTAGTACAGGTAGTCCTTGACTTATAACCATTCATTTAGTAACTGAATAGTTTCAACAGCACTAAAAAAAAAAAAGGGACTTATGACCATTTGCAGCGTCCCTGTAGTCACGTGACCAAAATTCAACCGCTTGGCAACTGGCATATATTGATGGCGGCTGCAGTGTCCCAGAATCACGTGATCCGCTTTTGCACCCTTCTGACAAGCGAAGTCAATGGGGGGGGAGCCACATTCATTTAACAACCACGTTACTAACTTAACAACTGCAGCGATTTGCTTAACAAATATGGCAAGAAAGGTCGTAAAGCGAGGCAACTCTCACTTAGCAACAGAAATTTTGGGCTCAGTTGTGGCCGTAATTTGAGGGCTGCCTGTATCTAGTGCAACTCTTAAAAGTTCTCTTAAAATCTCATTCATACACCCCTTGTAATTAACTGTTTTTCTTCCAAGCAATTTTGATGCACGTCTCCCTAGGTTTTGCAAGCAGAATTGCTTCCCCCCCCCCACCTTCTATAGCTCAGCTTACCTCAAACTGTAGTGGAGTATTGCAGCGACTAGCAGCCAAGGAGGGAATTGGGGAGAAGATCACACCACAGCCACTGCGACTCTCCTCCTCTCCTGGCATAGACGAGGAGGACGTGGTTAGGTGTGGGCTCAGTGAATCTGGAAGCAGGGAGTCAGGAAGCGGAGGAGTGACAGGAGACAGTGGCCTCAATAATTTAGTAACACTCTGTTCCATCAGATAGCGGGACTTCCACTTCTTCAGAGGGCTCAACACATCTGAAATTTAACATACAACGTAGATGACGTTTTACTATTACAAAGCCCTCATCCGTGCCCAAAAAGTCAATCCCTCTACACGTACCCCAATAACATCTTAAATTTGGCTCCTGCCACATTAACAATCACTCAGAGCTAATGCCAAAGTTGAAACGAGGGACAATATGCTAAAAGAAGGACAATTTCGGGACTCGGTGGATGTTTCAGGAACGAAAAAAGGACTCAACTGAACGCAGTCAAATTCAGGCCTTCGGTAGTTTTTAAAAAAAAAGACAAAAAGCAAACAACTCCAAATTATTTGTTTTTGTCAGTCTAATTCAGCAACAGGAAACTTGTCACAATACAGAGCTGTAGTCCAGACAGAAATACCTCAGGTCTTTATATAACCAGGCTTGCCCTATTCCATACAAATTCACATTCCTTTTCTTCACGAAGCTCGGGTGATGGAAAAGCTGTCACGGAGGTATACCAAGGCTGAACAGGAGCTAACAACCAATCCAACATCATGCTTTTAGCAGCCTATTTAGTTATTTATTAGATTTTATATCCATCTACTTTTCCATCTCCAATTTTCCTCACAACCAACATCGCGTAAAGAGAATGGACTGAAAGTGACTGATTTAGCTAAAACCTTCCAGTGAGCTTCCATGGATTCCAATATGGCTTAATAGCTACTCAATAATATATTACAGCGAGCTTCTTCCACGGCTGAGGGTGTATTGGACCTTGGAATTCCCTGATCCTAAACTAAACTCTTATCCACCTTATCACAATGGCTTTCCCTATGTCTACAGTTAAGTTCCTGTTACCGACAACCAGCTCTTCTTTTTTTGCACTTTTTTCACCTTCCAATTAATTTGAACTCTCCTCAGGTTTTTTTGCCCTGTCATACTAATTTCACTCTTTATGCGTTCTTACTAATTTCATTATTCAAGCACTACTGCAGTAGTATCTTTGGGATAAGGGGGAACCACTTCTTGATGACAAAACGACTTAAAAGTCCCCGCATCCTTTTTTGAATGGAGGCTGTTTTCCTTTGCACCCAACGTATCTAAACTTCCACAACAGACCAAACCCTTCATATAACTCCATATACATCCAGAAACATTTTTGGGCTTGTTTTACGCGTACGGCCTTCTGTCCTTATATGCTCTCTAAGAAAGATGATAAAATCCATGCAATCAGCCTTGATTTCCATGGTTGGATCATTTAGAACACTTTGCCAGCTGTGCAGCAATCTGTCTACAGGCTCCCGCGCCGCCAATGCAGGAATTCCAACTTCTCCATGTTCCAATGAGACTCATTCACTCCCCACTGGCTGAAATATATATAATGAAACCTGATTGTTCCATTGGCCATGACACCGCTCTCGGGTTCGTCTGTCTACTGAAAAAACGGTTCTCATCCTCCACAATTCAAACTCTTGCTCAACAGAGTCCCCTAGATATCTATGAATGGAAGGAGGAACGTTAACTGCGGAAGACATCTTCTGTTGAATTAGCTTCCCCAGCCAAGTCTCATTAGTTCCTGTTTCACTAAGTGCTGCAAGTACTTTGAGCCGTTCCTCTCTTGAGATGCTGCTTTTCAGTCTACAATCTCCTCTAAACAATTGTTCACAAAGACACCCAGCTTCCTTTCATTCTTGGATCACGAAATCTCCTCATGATTACATACAGCTGCCCTTCCCAACTATCCATCACGCACTAGAATATAATTTAATCTGGGTTGGAACAAAAAAAAACCACAAATATTTGTTGAGGGGTTTTTTGTTTTTTGTTTGGAATGCCACCAGACAACTGCAGTGGGTCTCTTGGAAACCACTCCAAATTCACACAAATCTTTTGGATCACGAGAAAACCTTCCGCTTTTCCTTTTGGCTCTCACTCATTCAACATTGCAAATTTGCCCAGAACTAGTGCTTTTGTCCACTACCTTTGTGCAACACACAGTTATCTGTACACTGCCTAGGGCCTCGTCTGACGTCCTTGGAAAACTGATCCCTGACTTGGGCAGTCCGCCACCCTCTTCCTCTGCAAAGACAGATGTAAAGTTACTATTTTTTAAGACTCAGCTTTTTGCTTCGCTCACAAGATGTAGCAAGGTAGCTGCTCTGCTGCAGAGTGGCTGCTCTGTAACCAGGTGCCCACTGGTTAACCAATTATCTCCCTAGAAAGCGTTAGGAGAAAAGCATTAAGCACAAAACTCTCGACTTTTCAGGTAGTACACTTTCTGCACGGGTACCCAATTTCTTGGGCTTGATGGGAGAAGAGGGCCCTTTTCGCTCAGGTGTGCACGTTAAATCTGCTCATCTCACCCAAGGCAACCACCCAGCAGAAGGGAAAAAAAATGCCACCCATGCGTCTTGCACAATTTGCTGCATGTCTTTATGGCAGCAGCTTAACAGATGGACTCAGAAATACGGAGCTGCCCGGGATCACGTAAGGCAGAATTTAAGTAATTGACTTTGAACACTCCTAAAGCTCTCGCTTATTACAAAATCTGCATCAGTTAGGAGCAGAGCGTGCAAAATTCAGGTTCCTTATCTACGTTATTATTAACCTACAATTGTGGTAAGATCTTTTTTCTTTTCTTTTTAAGTATATGGTGGCCGTACCTGGGTAGCTGTAGGACTCTGTTTACAAAAGGTTGTTTTAAAATAATTTATATAAAAAAATATCACTGTTCACGACTAAACTCCAGTCGTTTCCCTTCCCATTAATGTATCAATAGCGTGCAGACATCTCAACCAACCTGTATTTTCTGTGCAAATGCCAGAAACACTACTACTCTCATTGCTTTGGTATAGACACTGCGCTTTGTTCTCCTGGGAAGCAGGTGAGGTTTGAGTCATTCCTTCTTCCAGAGCCTGCTTCATCCAACGCTGTAAAAAATAAAACCTATTGAATGCATATCCTTTCTGTGTTCTTCAGAAAGTTTCAACAGATTACTTTAATTCCACTGGTAGCATCGACTTCTATCTTATCCCAAGGATCAGTTAAACTTTTAAGCAACATCTCATTTTGTACAATCTCTGTCTGTCTGTCTCTCTCCCTCCCTCCCTCTCCCTCTCCACATATATGTACTTAGAATTTGCATTTGAACTGGCAATTCTGGACAAGAAATTAAAAATAATTAGGAAAGTAGCAATAGCTTTAGTGTAGGGGAATCCAACTACATGGAATGGAATATGGAAAACTAATCAGTGCAGACTAGATCTAGTGCTCCACAAATATTAAGCAAGTGACTTTTCATATTTATTAATGCTTTTCTAAAGTCTTAAGAACTAGGCACATTTTTATAAAAGAGATCTGTAATCAATGTCATTATCAGAGTTTGTGCTAAGGTGTTGCCAATATTGCCAAGTTAAAAAAAATCACTCCTACACTGACAACTCTCAGGGCTGTAAAACCAGAACCAAAACTTTATTTTAATTAAGCATGTAAAAGACTCTGTTTATTAACATTTTAAACCAGTCTTTCTGGACTTAGGGATCCATAAATACATTGGAATTTAAAGGGTCAAAATTCCCACAAGTCTTTGGAGTGCAGATTGGAAAAGGCTACTCTGAACTAAAACAATAAATGCAAAGAAAATTACTGGTTTATGCCCTAAACCAATGAGCTATCTGGTGACCATTTTCGTATGGAAATGTGAATTTAATCCAGTAGATGCAACTCATCTTTCTACGTCAGATTTTATACAAGCCAAGGGAGCATCCAATTATGGAAACTAGAATGCATCATGAAACACACTAAATCCCCAACTGAGGCACAAAAGGTGAGCAGGGTGAAAGTATGTAAATCATGTTGGTTCATGTGACCACATAAATGTATAGTCTTAAGTATGATATGAGAGAGTTTGTCTTCTTTTTTTAAGCAAGCAAGTGCTTAACATTTATCTTCAGAAAGTGTGTGAAAAACCATGGGGGAGGGAATATGCAACTACTCTGTACATATTTTCCACTTTATGCATTTTCCTAGCATTAGCCTTTTAAAGACTGAGTAATCAATACAGATTTCTGACACAAACCAATGTACAGAAGCGATGACTATTTTTGATTGTACTTTTCCCCTATAGTGTTGTTTTTTTTTTAAAAAAAAACCTCTTAATTTGCTCTTCTGCTTGATCATTGCTAAAATACAATTAACAAAAAAAAGTGGTCAAAAAATAATTAGGTTTAAAAACTGGTCTCGAATTTCGTGATATCTACAGTCAAGATTTAAAGTTTAAAAACTTCTGATTAATTTTATAACAAGGAAACTGAACGCTTTAAAATAGCATATAGAGCAGTGATGGCGAACCTTTTAGAGACCGAGTGCCCAAACTGCAACCCAAAACCCACTTATGCATCATCGGGTGCCGGCTGGGTGTGGCCCATTGGGTGGGTGTGGCCCATTGGGTGGGCGTGGCTGTGGTGGTAACGGCAGACTGGGTGGGACTAAAAAGTTCAATCAATCAATTCCAACTTTGCAAGATCTTTTTTTTCCCACGAGAAGTTGAAATTGACTGATTGATTGGACCTTATTTTTTTTTTGCACACGGCAGCGGAGGCCTAAAACAAAAAGGTTTTATAAAACCCAGCTGAAGGCCTAGGACTGGGGCGACAGCGCGTGTGTCCACAAGAGAGGGCTGGCACCCATGCCATAGGTTCGCCACCACTGATATAGAGCATTCTGAAACCTATAAATAACACTCTACAGTTCCCGGACACCAAGGCTGCCAAGCACATGGTTTCTCTATTATTATATGTTCCGCATAAAATACAAAAACTGCTTTAGGGGGTATAAGAAGTGATACTGTCTCTTAATGCAAGACATTAGACATACACCTAGAACAGGGGTAGGCAACCTTGGCTCTTTTACGACTCGTGGACTTCAACTCCCAGAATTCCTGAGCCAGCATGGCTCAGCTTGGAAACCTCTCCCTTTCCCCTTGGCATGGCTGGCTCAGGAATTCTGGGAGCTGAAGTCCACGAGTCGTAAAAGAGCCAAGGTTGCCTACCCCTGATCTAGAACAATGTTTCAACCATGGCCGCTTTAAAACATGTAGATTTCAGCTCTCAGAATTCCCCTGTCAGCATGGGAAATGCTGCCTGGGGAATGTTAGGAGTTGAAGCCTTAACACATTTTAAAGCCACCAAGGTTAAAAAATGTTGGCCTAGAAAGTAATCCAAAACGTAACCTGAAGTCTGATCTTGATCTAAAATTCAGATATCTATTCTGTGAGACATCATCCCTGCTACATTACAGAGTGTTTTAACATCCAATGAGGTGTCTTATAAAGCAGTGGTCTCCAATCTTTCTGGCTCGATGGACCGGTTGGTGATGGCAGGGAGAGAGGGGAGAAGGGATTTGCCTTCACAAAGGCAGCTTCTGCAGCCTGGTTCCCACCACTTCTGCAGCCTGGTTCCGAACAGGCTGCGGCCTAGCATCAGGCCATGGACCATGGGGTTGGGGACCCTTGTTATAAACCAGTGATGGCGAACCTTTTAGAGACCGAGTGCCCAAACTGCAACCCAAAACCCACTTATTTATCGCCGGGCGCCAGGTGGGCGTGGCCCACTGGGTGGGCGTGGGTGTGGTGGTCATGGCAGACTGGGTGGGTGTGGCCAAGGTGGGCATGGTCACCTCAATGTTGTTGTGGGGAGGGACGCCTGTGGGGGCCGGGCAGGGTTGGGCGAGATCCAAGGGGTGGGATGCATCTGGCCACGTGGGACCTTGGCAAGTTAGCGGGCAGCTGGTTGAAGAGGGACGGTTGCCATCTCCAGGGCATGGCACGTGTGCCCACAGAGAGGGCTCTGAGTGCCGCCTCTGGCACGCGTGCCATAGGTTCGCCACCACTGTTATAAACCTTTCCTCCTCCTTTGTCCTGTGTGTGAACTGTGCCAAGGAATTAAATGTATAGACACCCGTGGAAAATATACCTTTTTACAAGAGCTGTAATTCCCATCCATCTGAAATGGCTGCCTTCGCCTTTCCGGGTTGAAGGGAGAGCCAAAACGGATATAATGTTTCGGGGTGGTACAAATGAGTGGGGAATGAACAAGGCCTGGCAACATGTTCAGGGTGGTAGCCAAGACAGTTGGGTCAGTGGTGATACGTAAAGGGCACTCAATGGGGCACTCCTGCTTCTCTGCTTTGTCGTTCAGCCACTCTGTAACCAGATACTAGAAACAGAAAGAGACATATTTACTATACAGGGTTAGTAAGAATGTGCAAACATTAGTGAGACAATGAAGACAGGCAGAAATATCGGCAGAAATATCACAGTGTCAGGCAGGGGACCGGCATCTCTTTTTAAAATTTTGTTTATTCATTAAATTTATACGCTGCCCATCTCACTCTGAAAATGACTCTGAGAGGCTTACAGTTATAATTATGAATATATAAAAATAAATAATGGTTGGAAGCTGCAGACATTCGTTTTAGAACTTTGTCTGAATTTGTCTGATCACTACTTACCCTACAGCCCCATCAGAAGTCGATCTTATACTAAAAATCCTGAGCTACAGTGAACTCTCAAAACGACAGCGATGTTTTACTTCCTTCAGTCAAACCCCCATTTTAAAACAAAACCAACTCGGTATCTTAAAAAACGATATTATGATGTAATTAAATGCCGGGTTGATTAATGAATTTCAATGTAATTTAATTTTGTATTCAAATGTAGCGTTCATTAATGTGGCTGATTAAATTATGGTAAAAGAACTCCTAATGAATTTAATTCAAAGAATAACATTTATGCAAAAAAAAGATCACACATTCAAATAAATATGCCAGTTCCTAGGTCTTCCAGAAGCCTTCCAGATTTCACACAACAAAGGTAACCTGATACATTTTTCCTCAAGTTATATTGAATTTTTATGTGTGATACAGTATTTTTAATAGCACCATGTTAATGATGGACTCTATAATCCTGGAGGCTATATATTTAAAATGTTATTTTAGACATCACATACAGCCTATTTAAAAAGATAGTGCATTAACTAAAATATAGACAAAAAGTGATGACTTCAAAACCGATTATGAAAAATCCATTTTTGATTTTTGGATTAGAAAACAGGTCATTTTTCCTTGGCTTCAATAAATCAAATATAAGATTTCACTAGAGCCTTTGCATCCCAATTCAATCATTCTGAGTTGACATCACTTAAGACTATTCATAGTCTTGGGTCAGCTTTCACAATTCATGCTTTATTTCAACCAACATTCCCTTTCGTAGTTCTGTGGGAAATGTCTGATTTCTGGGCTGCTGTGCCAAAAAATAATCTTGTGTGTGTGTGGGGGGGGGGAGAGTATACTAATGGCACCGTTTTTACATTTTGTAAAATTCAACTTCAATAACCTTATTTTTTTTGCATGTAGATTTGTTGCAAATTCTGTGGATCATCAATACTCTCAGATACAATCCAGGCATTAATTCAGACATTTGGGTTTAGCTGAATGCTGCTAGCCTTTTGCTTTTTTATTTTAGACTGCTGACTAGTTATGAAAATCAGTGAAGGAAAACTGCATCAAATCAAGAAATATCCAAATTTACATTTTGACGACTGTGCTTCCCCCCCCCCGTTAAGTGGTTAGCCATAAAAGCAAGCAAACAAACTAAAGCAACGTGCCACATTATAGGAGCTACACAAAGCAAAATTATCTTCTTGTCATTACAAGAAAGGATGAGTGTACCCATCCTTTCCCCACTCCATTTACCTTTTTTGTTTTAGGGTATTTGGGTGCTGCCCGGTTGGCCTGTGATCCTGATGCAGCCGTCACAACTGGATCAGAGTTCACCACCGGTGGCCTCCCTTCTCCTGGGCCCTCTACCCCGCTCACTTCCGCTGCTGCTGCTGTGCTGGTACCACTTCCTTCCTCTGGAGCAGTTTGAGAGAGTTCAGACTGCTGGGCGCTGGCAGCTTGTTTTTGTCTTCTTAGTCGCTGTGCTGAGCTGCTCCGATAACGCGAGAAACGGCTTTTGGGCCTGGGCCGTGGCGTTTTTGGTGGTGCCGGTTTAGGGACTGGTTTATCTGCACTTGTCTCCTGCAATGTAAACCATTGTTGAAGGAATTCTTAGTTTACTCTGTACTTGTTTACACTCTGCAAGAGCTGGATATATAGGCTCACAGTATGAAGGCAGTGTCTTGAACTGAGGATCTAGCTTGGAAAATACATTCTACTTCCCCCTTTTTGAGGGGCTAAAATATGGAAAGATGAATGTATTATTTTTCCCAGGAAAGTATGCACAAATATGCACACAACAGCTTGACTCCCTCTTCTCAGGGGTTGACACAAGAAGAGGGAGTCAAACTATTCTCCAAAGCACCTGAAGGCAGGAGAAGAAGCAACTGAGGCAAACAGATCAAGGAGAGAAGCAACCTAGACCTAAGGAGAAACTTCCTGACAGTTAGAACAATTAATCAGAGGAACAACCTGCCTCCAGAAGTGGTGAATGCTCCAACACTGGAAGTTTTTAAGAAGAGACTGGACAGCCATTTGTCTGAAATAGCATAGGGTTTCCTGCTTGAGCAGGGGGTTGGATTAGAAGACCTCCAAGGTCCCTTCCAACTCTATTATTATTATTATTATTATTATTATTATTATTATTATTATTATTATTATTATTATTATTATTATTATTATTATTATTATTATTATTATTATTATTATTATTATTATTATTATTATTATTATTATTATTATTATTATTATTATTATACTTTTGTTGACACTTTCTTAACAAAAGTGCACTGATTTCTAATCTTTGCAGATAGCAATTCCATTTCACAAGCTGAGATAACCTTTTTTTTAAACAGATCAACATGGACAGATGAAACGACTTCTCCAAACCTAGCATTCATTTGGCAACAATGAACTGTCTGTGCCACCTCTGTTGCCAACAGGTTTATTTGAACAAGAAACTTGGCAAGCAATATCTGATGGGAAGACATGAGACAGACCAGCAACTGAATTATATTTTCCAAACAAGTGGCTCTGGGTTTTTACTCTGTCAATGAAGTCAACCCTCCAAATTCAGCAGTTTCCCAATCTGATCCTCAACCATTCTATTGTTCTTCTTACCCCAGCCTGTGAAGATCTCCGGGTGTTTACCCCAACGCTGCTGACACAGGTCGGAGCACTTGCCACGGATACATTTAAAGCCAAACTGTTATCTTCATTTTCATTTGGCACAGGTTTTGCTTCTTCTGGTTCTGGGGTCTCTGCAGTAACCACTATCTCTGCATCTGTGCTGCTCCTGTCTGACGATGGGAGATCTCTCCTCCTCTTCCTCTTTTCCAGATTCTCAAATACATGCATGATAGCTTCCACCTTTCTATCTTCTCGGGTCTAGCATACGAAACAAGAAATCCAGGTTAACACTACGGGCACCGGAGGGGAAGACAGTGAGGATGGGGCATCACTCAAACCACAGATAATGGAAGGCACAGAGATAACTGCAGAAATAACACCCTAATGCCCAGACTTCCTGTATGATTGATCAACTTGACAGAACAGTGATGATTACAAAGAAGATATGCACTTCTGTGCATTTTAGTAGTGTGCACTGTTTCAAAGTAAGAGACAGTTAGCTTAGCTCACAGTTGCTCTGAGGGCAGGGAGTACAGAACTGATATTGCTGATTTGAAGCAATACATAAAAAACAGAGACACACTTTGGTGTAGTGGTTAAGGGTTAGGGGCTAGACCTAGGCCTCCCTTATGCATGCAAGCCAGCTGGGTGGCCTTAGGTCAGTCATTCTCTCTCAGTCCAACCCACCGCACAATGTTGTTGTTGTTGTAAGGAAAATAGGAGGCAGGAGCAGTAGGTATATTTGCTTTAGGTTGACTGAATTATATAAAAGGCAAGAGTTATGGTTGGTCACACAGTCAGCCCGATGTTTAGACTGGATTGGGCATTTTTATCCACCTATCCAGTCCTTCCCAAGGACCTGAGATAGACAGTTGTTGTTTGATGGTGTTAAAAGTATTGTTGCAGGATGTTAGCTATTTCAAGTGAAGCTGTCTTTTGCCATTGACTGTTGATTTTGTAATACCGATGGTATTCTTGATGTTTTGGAATTATACCTAAAGCTCTTATTACTATTGGTACTTCTTTCTTTCTTTCTTTCTTTCTTTCTTTCTTTCTTTCTTTCTTTCTTTCTTTCTTTCTTTCTTTCTTTCTTTCTTTCTCTCTCTCTCTCTCTCTCTCTCTTTCCTTCTTTCTTTCTCTCTCTCTCTCTTTCCCACAGTAGTTCTATTTCTATTTGTAGATATCTGTATTTTGTGATCCCCCCCCAATTCTTTCTCTTTTACTGTCTTCCAGGTATTGTAATGGCTACTATCCAGATTTTGTTTTTGTCTTTCTTGTTTGTTTAAATTCTACTAATGCACATCCTGATTAACAGCCAAGCCTGCAGGAAAATACTGGAAACTTTTAAAAACTCCTTGGATCCAAAGTCTTCTGGAGCTATTTTCCTACAGGTTATCCTGGATGTTGCATAAGAGGCATATAATTGATATGAGGAGCTACCTGTTCCTGACTACATAGCTTCATTGTGAATATTCATATTCCCCATACTTCAACCTCTTTATATCATTTTGAGTAGACTGGGAACACTACCTCAGAACTTGTGCAACGTTTATGCAATTTTCTGTGATGGATCTGTTACGCTGTTATTTATAACAGCAGTAACAACCAAGACGAATAGGCACAGGAGGGGGAAAAAAAGAATATATGGAGAAATTAACTCAGCAACAACCTATCAGAAAATTCTAGGAAATGCCTACGCCCAATGGAAAAGACAACAGCCATCACAAAACACTAGAATAAGTTTATATTTAACAAATACTTGCCCGTCTGCCCTGACTGAGACCACCCAGCTCATCGGCAGTAGTTTCCTCCTTCTCCTCTTCTGGCTTCTCTTCCTTATCTGCAGCCTAAAGAGAAAGAGAAGAAAACCTCAAAAAAAAAAAAAAGCAAGTCACAATTGCGAGTAGATATGAGGACCATTACTGAGACCTTTCAGCTTTTTACTGGAGCTTTGTTTGTCCAAAAAATGAAGATTCATTCTGTGATTATGTTTACCTAGAATTAATGGAGTAGAGAGTTGGTCTCTGACAGAAGGCCACCTGAAGAGACCAGAAGCATTTGAAATGTGGATTTACAGGCGGCTGTTACGTATAAGCTGGGTTGACAAGATCAGAAATGAGGTGATAAGCCACCTGGGAAAGCCAAGGGGAATCATCAAAACAATTAAAAAATGAAAATTAGAATATTTCGGACATGCGATGCGACACCCAGAAAAATATGGCATACTCCATTTAATCCTCCAGGGAAAGATTGAAGGCAAACGAGGTCCAGGAAGAAGAATATCGTGGCTTCAAAATCTAAGGGACTGGTTTGGACAAAACTCAGCAGCACTTTTTCGTGCGGCTGCTGATAAAAACAGGATCGCCAACATCAGTGATGGCGAACCTTTTAGAGACTGAGTGCCCAAACTGCAACCCAAAACCCACTTATGCATCGTCGAGTACCGGGTGGGTGTGACCAATTGGGGGGGCGTGGCTGCGGTGGTAACGGCAGACAGGGTGGGACTAAAAAGTTGAATCAATCAATTCCAACTTTGCAAGATCTTTTTTTTCCCGCGAGAAGTTGAAATTTACTGATTGAACTTTTTTTTTTTTGCACATGGCGGCGGAGGCCTAAAGCGAAAAGGTTTTATAAAACCCAGCTGAAGGCCTAGGACGACGGCCGCGTGTCCACAGAGAGGGCTCTGAGTGCTGCCTCTGGCATCCGTGCCATAGGTTCGCCACCACTGGCGAACAGGACCGCCAACGTCCGATAACGGATATGGCACAAGAAGAAGAAAAAGAATTAATGATCCAATCTCACTTATCCAGGATGATGGGAACGTTACCTCATTATCACTCACTGCAGCGGGACCCTCAGAGACTTCCTCGGTTTGGGGATTGCTGTTCTCATCTGAGGCTGCACCCTGCTGCTCCAGTTCCTTACGGCGGGCTTTCCGGCGCCTAGTTTCTGCTCCGATCAGAGTGTCCAGAATAGGTGGAGGTAGTTGTTCTACAGGGTTCGGGCTCCGCTTTTGCACAGGACAATTCCGGTTTCCTTTGTGGCAGGCACAATCCACTTTATAATTGCTGCTCCACCACAAAAGATATATAAGCATTTTAGGATCATTCTTCAAAACCTCAAGAAATTATTTTATTTATTTATTTATTTATTTAAATTCATATGCCTCCCATCTCACTATCACGCAACTCTGGGCGGCTTAGAACAAGATAAACGCGACAATATATAAAACATTCAAACAATAAATATTAAGATTTAAAATTATTTGGGCCAAATGTTTAGGAAAGAAAGGATCCTATCACATGAGATGTTTCAGATTTTTTGTTTTGTTTTAAAGGAAGTAAAAAAAGGAATAATTTGGGCGGAAGGGTAGTAATAATAAGCAAATAACACCAAGGCAACTTACCAGATATTGTACTCATAATCAAAGGCAATGGTGACCTCTGCATCTTTGGCAATGGAAGCAATTGCATATATGCACAGGTGAATCATCCCATCTGCAATCACGTGACGAACCTGCAATATACAGCAGAATTGCTAACGCTCTACAGCAGTGATGGCAAACCTTTTAGAGACTGAGTGCCCAAACTGCAACCCGAAACCCACTTATGCATCGTCGAGTGCCGGGTGGGTGTGGCCCATTGGCTGGGCGTGGCCCATTGGGTGGGCATGACCCATTGGGTGGGTGTGGCTGCGATGGTAACAGCAGACTGGGTGGGACTAAAAAGTTCAATCAATCAATTCCAACTTTGCAAGATCTTTATTTTTCCTGTGAGAAGTTGAAATTGACTGATTGAACCTTTTTTTTTTTTGCACACGGCAGCGGAGGCCTAAAGTGAAAAGGTTTTATAAAACCCAGCTGAAGGCCTAGGACTGGGGCGACGGCGCGCGTGCCCACAGAGAGGGCTCTGAGTGCCGCCTCTGGCACCCGGGCCATAGGTTCGCCACCACTGCTCTACAGCCAGGCATATGTCTCACTATAAAGGTGAACCTTTCTCACAATTGTAAAAACCAGCTTCTGCAGTGGCTGGTTGCTCCTGAACAGCAAGATTATCCACAACAAATGCACCTGAAACTGAAAAAGGTGGTGCTTTGCTACCCAATGTGGAATGTATTAATGAGAAATGCACAAGGGGAAATTATAAATTGATGTAGTTAATAATTATAAGTATATAATGGAATTGTAATAATAAGAGGATATTCCCGGCTGGTTCCCCAAATTGCACTCGATGTGGTGGTTAGAAGGCGGAAGGGATGTAGAAGTGGTAGGAGGAAGGAGGAGAGGTTGTGGGGCTAGGGGGAGGAAAGAGAGGGAAAGTGGATAAGGGTGGAGGCAAGGTGGGGACTGCCGGGAGTATCCGGAAATATTTTGAGTAAGATTTTTTTTTTCTTTTGTTGGTGTTTGTAGATGCATCATTTGTATTTGTTGTTTAATCCAAAATAATAAAAAAATTTATGGGGAAAAAAAAAAGAGAAATGCACAAGCGCACAAATAAAATTTCACCAATTCATGACACCATAAGGTACTAGTCCCTTTTTTTTTTTTTTTTTTTTGCTGTTGCAGCAATCCCATGAAACAATTTTTTTTCCATAGCTCTGGTCTGGCATTATAAAATTCACAGGGCATAGTCTGAGCCCTCTTGCACTTAATTGGCATGGGATTATCTCTGCTTGATTTGTAGAGCATAAACTCAATCACGTTTGCCAAGTACCAAAACGCCACGTAGCAACACCGTTTACCTCTGCATTCGGCGTACAGGAACGCCGGATGAATCTGGCGTCATTTCCAAAAGTGCGGGCATCCACACACATCTCAACACTGTTAAATTTGGAGTAAAACAGCACAAAGGGATACGGCCTGAGGAAAGGAAAAAAAAAAAAAAAGAACAGCATTTTAACCTCCTGGCAAACATCACCCATCTGGTGCAACCTTAACAGGTGACCCGATGCATCCCTGCATGCATTTGTGCATTGCGCGTCTGATCTTTTATTTAAGCATAAATTCCCAATAGAAAAGAATTGGCTCACATTATTTCCAACCTATTCAAAACCTCAGAGGGAGTACATTGTGTTTGTTTTTCAAGAAATAGCAATTACACAAAAACTGTTCCACCCCCCCACCCCCAATTCCGTTAACAGGCCTCTGTTCTGCAATTATTTGGGGCTCTTACTTTTTGAAGAAATGACCATTGACCTCGAACTGCTGCCTTAGCATCACCTTCCCACGATATTCAATTATAAGAGTATCGCCAGCCAAGTCTCTCGCGGCCCTCAAAAGCTTTCGGTGCTTCTGAACTCTTGTTACTCTCCCCAGCTGAAGCTGTAAGGTGGAAAATAAGAATTGTGGACCCAAATCCATGGAAAAAAAAACAACAGCACCATTTCCTACTATATTTGAAAACAATCTTATTGAATGTGGATAAGTAGGACAGGGATAAAACTATTGTTGCTTTGTGCCTCCCCCAACTCTTTCAGGCAAGGAAAGTGTAGATTTGTAGAGCAGAAAGTGTAGAGCAGAAGAGGATCTCTGAAATTGCCCCGTTTAAGAATATCGCTAACTTGTCTCTCACTACTTTTGAATACGCTTCTTACCTGCATTTGGGATCCGATGACCGTGTTGTTACAGGCCAGTTCAGTCTTATTGATTGTGTCCAGCACAGCCGCCTTGCCCACAAATTCTTTATTAGCATTTAGATGACGCTCTAGGAGATTTTGCACATCGGCGCTGTATTGGTTTGTGAAGGCTTCTTCGTACTGATCGGTCCAGAGTCTAATGCGGTTTTCCCACCCCTCTGTGGTATTCTCATCCAGGGCGTGGGCTTCTGAAGGAGAATTCTGTATCAAACCACAGAGTCAGTTCAATGGCTGAATGGTTTGGGGCTCTATAAAAGAAACTTAGGACTTTTTGAAACGGCCCTTGGCTAAAAAAAACAACAACACCCACCTATAGAAACAATCTCCCCATTCTTAACTAGCCTTGATCAAGCACAATTTAAAGCTCTCCTGATCAACTGGTAATAGGTGAAAAACTGCTAGGTAATCGAGAAACAGAAAAAAATGCTTGCAAACTCATTCCCAAATATGATGAAATATCATTATTATCAGCCATCTTTATTGGTGCCTCACCCTCACGATCAGCAAGCAGGACGCTGTAGCTCTTGACAATGACTTACTATATTAATGCTACTTAATTTCATGTTACAGAGGATCTTTTAAAGTGATGATGCAATACATAAATCAATGACCCACGTATGTACTGTGTTTGGAGGTTGGTTGCAAAGGTTAGGGTTAAACATGTAGTTCTACTCACCTTCATCCGCAAAGATTTCCGTGAACCTTCTCTAAAAGCCTGTCAAGCGCAACAAGAGAAACCACTATCAGTATTTATATCCTGGACATCTGAGCTTCTGTTCAATAAAGGTTACATTTTCTAATCATCTAAAGGGGAGGGGCCGAGAAACTAAAATGCATAAAAGCCATCGACCTCAGCTTAGTTTCACTATGCTCCTCCCACAAAAAGTCATCTCTTCCAGGACTTCATCAACTTAGAAATATTGATGGCTCTCTTTTCATTTATGCTGATCTTCAAATATCTATCCTATTAAAAATCAATCTGACGACAACGGTATGCCTAAAGAATGGTGTATTTCACTATATTATTCCTATGCAGCCTCCTTCAAGTCCTGCTATGCTGCCTCATTGTGGCAGTGGGACACTCTGAGGAGGAATGAGTGAAGAAGAACATTAGAAGCGGACGGCAACAGTATATATTCCCAGCAAGGCCAACCAATGTGTGACGATCATTCCAGCTGCTCAGCGAAAGTAAGCAGGTACAGATACTCCTCGACTTATGACCACAATTAAGCCCAAAATTTCTGTTGTTAAAGTGACACAATTGTTAAGTGAATTTTGCCCCATTTTTCAACCTTTCTTGTCACAGTTGTTAAGGGAATCACTGCAGTTGTTAAGTTAGTAACATGGCTTCCCCATTGACTTTGCTTGTAAGAAGATTGCAAAAGGCGACCACATGACCCAGGGACACTGCAACTGTCATAAACGAGTCAGCTGCCAAGCATCCAAATTTTCATCCCATGACCATGGGATGCTGCAACGATCGTAAGTGTGAAAAACAGTCCTCAGTCACTTTTTTCAACTTTGAATAGTCACTAAATGAACGCAAAGAGCTACAAAAAGACGCTGGGGTCAGATGGTTATTTTAGTGACAATGGCAAATACATAAATTTCTAACTGTTCAAAAGAAGGCAATGGTATACCACTCCTACATTTTACAAGAAAATCACAGGAAGAGACAAGATAAAGTGATTGACCATATTGGGCTGGATGACCAGCCCTCAAGTTGTTGGCATTCGATATGTGACTGAGAAAGGGCCGAAAACCTTTTGGCAGGCTAACAGTTTTTATGTCATGGAAACATTAAAGTTTCTGAGGTATCTTGCTACAACTTTATTATTATTATTATTATTATTATTATTATTATTATTATGGATCATCGCACAGTCAGCCAGATGTTCAGACTGGATTTGGCATTTTATCTACCTATCGAGTCCTTACCCAGGACCTGGGATAGGCAGATGTGGATGTTTGATGGTATTACAGATATATTATTATTATTATTATTATTATTATTATTATTATTATTATTATTATTATTATTATTATTATTATTATTATTATTATTATTATTATTATTATTATTATTATTATTATTATTATTATTATTATTATGTTTCAAAGCAAAAAAAGAAGACCTGAAGACACAAAAGACAGAATTACAGTGGGGAAAACGAAGCATAAGAAGCATGAACGTGAGAAAGCTCAACCCAATGAAAGATTAAATGAATCAATTACACAACGACATCTCAGGAACCAGTGAACTGAAATGGATGGGAAATTAAGACATTTTTCAGTCAGAAGATCACACTGCTTACTACCCAGGACATGGAAACGAAGAACGTATCGCAGAAAAGGATACAGCAATGGCAGTACTTGGGTATAACAGAATTAATGACCGTATAGTATAAATCAAAATTTGCAGACAACCCTGCAATATAATGAATGTCCAAGTTTATGCTCCAACCACTGTTGAAGAAAAAGAGGTAAGTTCAATCTGGTAAAAAGTGTGCAAGCAAGATACGTTGCTTACGGCTGGAGACTCAAATGCCAAAAATTGATAGTAGTAAAGAGGAAAAGGCTGTTAGGAAACAGCAGGAAGAGAGTTAGGAAAATGCTGGCTGAGGAAACAGAAATTAAGCAGGAGAATGACGGTCCAATGACTGTTTCTGCCAATCCAAGGATTTCTTCATTGCTAACAGTTTTAAAACAATCAAACCCACACCTATGTACGCTGGAATCCCCAGAATGAATACACAAAAAAATCATGTTGATTGTGTCACTGGTACAAAGAGGTGGAAGAATTCTCACTTCTAATAGCAAAGATGTGGCCAAGGAGCAGACTGTGGGACAGACCGTGAAATTCCAAGCCCAGCTAGGGAAAAAGAACAAAGCCAACCCAAATAGGATTTTGAGCATATACCCACCATTTTCAAGAAGAAACATCAGGAATCACTTTGAAGTGCTGAACCTCATTGATAGGGAACCAGAGGAACTGTGGAATGAAATCAAAGAAGCTGTTAAGGATGAATGTGAAAAGAGGCGGCCAAAGACCAAGAAAGCAAACTGGGTGTCAAACCAGATGGTGGAAACTGCCAAGAGGAGCGCGCCAAAGCGAAGAAAGACAAAAGATCTCAGGAAGAAATTTAATAAAGAATTTCAAGAGAGCTGTTAGAAGAGATAAAAAGCAGCATTATAATAATGGCGTCTGGAAATGTACTGAACAAGGCAACAGGTGTGGAAAAACAAGAAAAAGCTTTCTAAAAGATCTCCAAACTCAGAGAGAGGTTCTAATGTCAAATTGGTACGTTAAAGGATGCCAATAGGAACCAATTCTAAGAAAATAAAACAACGACGGATGGAATGTATGGAAATTGTGTAGAGTTCTTGTCAATGATTTATAGAATATTCCCTATTTACAAGAAGATCGAATACTAGTAGATGGAGTCAGAGAAGTACTCCAGTCATAACCAGTCAGAAGGCTGTTCAAAATTGATGGGAGTGTCTACAAAAAATTGGCAAGCAACAGAAGAACTGGTAAAGGTGTTAACCAAATGATGCCAGCACATCTGGAGAATCACAAAATGGCTTGGAAATTGGATAAGGTTAGTCAACCAATACCAAAGAAAGGAAACTTAATTTAGTATCCCAAATATCGTATACTTAATTTCACATGCTAGCAAAATAGCGCTTAGAGTTAGCCAATGTAAATTAGAATCCTACATGAAAAAAGAGAACCTAGATATTCAAACTGGTTGTGACTATTATAGATAGGTCTTCAAGACTATGTCAAGCTGTGGGGCATCCAACAAGCATTCTGATTTCATTGTCCTCATGAAAAACCCATACATAAGACCGGATGTCAGAGCTCATAACACGGCAAAACAGACTGGCTCCAAGTTAGTGAAGGAGTGAAAGCATAGTGTAAACTATGATTTTGCGCAACTTATATGCTGAACATATATTGGAAGCAGCTGAAATTGGAAGATCAGCATGGTTTTAAAACTGGAAAAAAATATAACACCATGCACCAATGCTGACGACACTGTTCTGACAGCTGAAAATACAAATGAAGTGCAAGCTCTAGTAATGAAAGTCAAGGAGCATAGTAAAAAAAATGAAACTAGGTGTCAACGCTGCAAATACTGTATATTCTTGCTTTGACAATGTGCAGAACTGTCTGGTATATATATAGTTAAACCAGCAACTAGGAAAGAGGGAGGAGCATAAGGATAGCCCGGGAGAAAGAAACCGGAAGTAAATCACATCTTCCAAGTTGGGGAGTGGAAAATGTTTGGAATGTTATGCGTAATGGAAGAGAAGCAGTTCTAAGCATTCCACCATGCCGTGCTGACGTACTGTAATCTTAATAAATGCTTTTAGGAGAAAAAAATGCCTGAAAGTCCTTTTAAGTGTTTCGTTACTCAGACACATGACACTAGGAGTAACTATAAAGAAAACTACTGACAACAAGCATAGCAATAAGAAAGTGAAGCGACGAATAACTTTTTTTTTTTTAGGATTCACTATCAACGATAAAGGAAACAGCAGACCAGCACTGGGTAGGTTTGCAATGAAGCCTTTGGAAAAGATATTCAGATGCCGTGATAGATCTATGCCTTACAAAGATCAGGATTGTGCAAGCAATGATTTTTCCTGCGGAACTCTATGGAAGCGAAGGTTAGATAGAAATGACAGAAAAATATCAATGCTCTGGAACTCAAAGAGAAAAACCAACGTCCAAGTGGATAAACTTGAGGACAACAGTGACTGGCGCATGGTTGGGAGACCCGGAGGGCCAGGTTGGGGACAGATGATTCTGAAGGAGGTCCATCCATGTGGTTGCTAAGAATCAATCCCGACTTGACACACAAATTTGAATCAAATCAGATAATTCATTTGTAAAATGCCATGCCCGACCAAAACCTTTTATGGGATCTACAGCTTCTCCCAAATTAAACAAAAGCTAGTGCCTATTAACTGCCGCCTGAGGTACTAAAATCAAGCTAGAGTAGTTACAGTAACACACAACTAGTAACAATCTATTTTGTAGCAACAATTCTAATAGGTAGCAACATACAACAGACACCTCCAGAGAAACCTGCCTGTTGCAGTGACTTTCTCATTTTCTAAGCTGGGAAAAAAAAATGTAGTTCGAATGTATTGTAAAGCAGCAGTTTTCAGTACACCCTAATGTCCAAGAATGCCTATGTTGAACCTAGAGATATTTCCAGAATAATAAAAATGCTTGAGTTGATATAGCCCAGTGTTTTGTTTTAAGCTGTGACCTCTTTGGGGGGAGGGGGGGGATGAGGAAAAGCCAAGATATAGGGTGATAATAAATACTGTATAGGATTAGAAGGTAGGGAAGACCTTAGGGACTAAACAAATGCTAGGTTGGTCTGTATGTATGTATGGATGCATCACAAAACCTTTCCCAACACTCCTCCAGTTCTCAAGGACACTTGTATGCAAGCGCTTTCTTTCTTTCTGTCTAGGTCAGTGTTTCTCAACCTTGACCATTTTAAGGCATGTGGACTTCAACTCCCAGAATTCCACAGCCAGCAATGCTGGCTGTGGAATTCTGGGAGTTGAAGTCCACATGCCTTAAAATGGTCAAGGTTGAGAAACACTGGTCTAGGTATATTAATTAGGGAGGTGTACAAAATTCTGTGCTTGAATCCTTCTCTGCACAGAATGGCTGTTTTCAGGTGGTCTGTGACTGAACTGCAGTGATGGAGGGAAAGAGCCGGAAACAAACCAAGAGCCTCTCAAGCGGCTGAGGGGAAAAAGGGAACGTCTCTCTGTTCATTTAGCCCAGGGGTAGGCAACCTCGGCTCTTCTATGACTCGTGGACTTCAACTCCCAGAATTCCTGAGCCAGCCATGCTGAGGGGAAAGGGAGAGGTTTCCAAGCTGAGCCAGCCTGGCTCAGGAATTCTGGGAGTTGAAGTCCACGAGTCGTAAAAGAGCCAGGGTTGCCTACCCCTGGCCTAGCCGTATCTTCCCTGCCAGACGTGGCCATTTGTATTTAGAGCAGGGGTGGGGAACCTCGGCTCTTCTATGACTCGTGGACTTCAACTCCCAGAATTCCTGAGCCGGCATGGCTCAGCTTGGAAACCTCTCCCTTTCCCCTCAGCATGGCTGGCTCAGGAATTCTGGGAGTTGAAGTCCACGAGTCACAAAAGAGCCAGGGTTGCCTACCCCTGTCTTAGCAGCAACCTAGCACGACACTCTTTTCTGACTAGCCAGCCTGCTTTCCCATGTACCACCAACATCCTTTGTTTTTTCCTGCTCTCTACCCAGAATATGGGTGTTTGGGTGTGGGGCAGTCACCAGATGATGTAGTACACAATACATGGACAGAATCAGTTATTATTAACCAGTTTATAAGTTTAACTCTCCCAATGGCTCAGTGCTTTTAGGCACGAGTGCTTAAAATAAAAAAAAGTTTTGTTCTAATGACAAAGCATGATCATCACCCTGAAATAATATAACGGATAAGGATACTAAAAAAAAAACATTCTCTCTGGAAGAGTGTTTATTTCTTGCCACAAATTAGGCAGGTCTGCATGGACATGTTAAAACATTTGTCATGTAACTTACAGAGCTGGATTATTTGGAGCAAATGTAAGCCGCTCACCAGGCACCCGAAGATGCTTCTTACTTTGTATATTTTCAGACTTGAATAATTAAGCTCATAGAAATTAACTCCTCAATTTAAATGCTTCAGTTATAGCTGTTATTATTACAACTCATTTGTGTAAAGTCTCAACGGCATTTCTATAACTTGTGCTCTAAGAATTCATCAAAAATTAGTTTATAACCATGTTTAAAACCGTGAGGCTGAGACACTCATGACTTTACATTCTTCTGAATGGAGAGGACGTATCAACACAACACAACACAAACAACACTGAAGGGTCTTTTTTTCCAATGTTCCAGTAAACTTTTCAATTCCCATCAAACATCATTTTTTGCAAGCAATAAATGCAATATTAAAAGATCCTTGAGGTCATTAAGTATAACTCCCCAATTGGTGCAACAATCCAAATCAAAGCATATCCCGAAGTTGGTTGTTCAGCCTCCATCCAACCTCTGCAAAACCACTTTTTTCTTTCAAACTGCTCTTGTGTGGCATCTCTATTCCTGCCCATAATTATTTCTGAGAGATGTTTAGAGACATTTAAATCACGTGTTAGGCAGTTTAAGTGTGTGGTTTTGTGTTTTATAACACAGGCCTCATTTTATGTCATTACTTTTACTCCCAGAAGTTTGCCATTCTGGGAAATGAACATGTGACTGGCCACACCCATCATGAAATAATGCTGTGATCCTGACAGTAATTATATGAATGGGAAATTCCAGCCATCCACTCACCCACATAGCCACAATTTCCTCAGCATGTCCACAAAGTTGTTTGAATTCCAAATTATTATTTATTAAATTTGTTCGCTGTCCGTCTTGCCACAAGGTGACTTGTGGCCCAAAAGAATAAACTTTCAAAATTTGTATCTGCTACATCAGCCATAGTATTCAGCCTGTGGAAATTCAGATCAAAAAGTCTGAAATTTGGAGCTAAAGACTTGAACTAGGGCAACAGAGGGTATAACTAGGGAACATATTGAAATGAAACAAATCAACCATATTTAACCATATTTCATCGCGATACTGGCAACGTGTTGTAAAAAAATGTGCAAAGTGCCCAGCATTAATCTCAATGCCTTTGACTAATTGACTAAAATTGTGTTAGTCATTTGCCAGGTTATTAGTTTTTTTAAAAAATAAATAAATAAATTAAACGCTTCTTTCCTATGAAGAAATTTTCCTTCTGGGCAAGCTATGGCCCCTGCCCTCATTTACAGCCCTGCAAGAGGCTTAGACAGAATAGCACACACCCCTCCCCCATCCAAAATGAAACACAGTGTAACTTCCTTGTGCATTTGATCTGTAATGTTTATTACTATGAGGAGAAAGTCTGCCCAACCTAAAAACAAAGATCTGTGGATTTTTTTCTTTCTCCTTAGTGGAAGGTTATGCGTCACTTGAGGAAGATGAATGGGGAAAAAAAATCTAAGCCAATCTCCCAGTCACTTGCTTAGCGAATGCCTTGAGACGCCAACAACCATTTCTGTTCACGTACCTTGATTTTTTTAGCTTTGGGTGCTGTGCGAGCTCTCTCTGTGTTCCTTTTTCTCTTTTTAGGTTTCGTCCTACAGACTCGATTGACTGTCAGAGTGATGCTCGTAGGAGTGTGCTGTGTAGCAGTATACAACACTGTGGAGGGAGAGAGCTCCTCATCCCAGCTCTCTGTTGCACTGCTATCTCCACCTACGAAGGCAAATGTCACACTGACAACTTTCATAATGCTGAGAAATCTTCATACTGCTCTTCAGCATGACTTTAAAGACGAGGTGCCATGCTACCTGCTACCTTTCACGGCAACAACTTGCACTGCATTACTACAGGGAAGGAGGCACAGTAAGTACTTTCTATCAGGACAAAGGCTGATTCACAGATCTCAGTGATCTGTTTGCGGTAAACAGACTGAACTTACCTGACACGTTGTCTTGTTTCCGGCGACGAAATCTGATTACTTTCCCCCTGCCGATTCCCCTACAAAAGAGACAGACATTTGATAATGGCAGTGTCAATGGCAGCACTGCCTAAAATGAAAGTGGACTACAGTGGCTTGAGTCTTCAGTGGAATGCCAGTTGACTTCATCTTGAAGAGTTACATAACAGCTTACATGCTCTTAATGGCTATCAGAACTTTATATACCAACATGGCCTATTTAGAGCAGGGGTACGCAACCTTGGCTCTTTTATGACTCGTGGACTTCAACTCCCAGAATTCCTGAGCCAGCATGGCTCAGCTTGGAAACCTCTCCCTTTCCCCTCAGCACGGCTGGCTCAGGAATTCTGGGAGTTGAAGTCCACGAGTCATAAAAGAGCCAAGGTTGCCTACCCTTGTGCTAGGCCATTTCTTCAACTATTAATGCACTATGCAACTATACCCCCAAATAATTTTGTCTTCTGGTTCTAGAAAGAAGACATGCTAGGGGTAATCTGAAGGGGTAAGAAAGACTCCAAAGTGTCCCTCTGAAACCGAGACTCCAATTTGACTTCTACATGAGAATCTCTGGTTATAATCTCTACTTCATGGCAACAACAACTCTGGGATTAGAAAAATATATCTTAACTCCTTAGTAAAACAGAATGTCTTTAACGCCACAGAAGTCCAAGAGAGATTGTTTTACCAATTGTATTTGTCTGGCTGAAACAAGGAAGTGTCTTTTGCAAATTTCACCTAATTAACTTGCACTGTTTCATCCCTTGTGTTGTGGAATTCGGTTTTTCCTTTTTTTTTAAAACGTGCTGCCAATGGGTTCCTTTGCTCCATACCACAATCACGAATCACGGTGCCGAGTCAACGGGAAATTGAGAGAACGGTCCACAGAATAATCACGAAACCTCCTTCACGTTCCTCACTGTTGGTTGCCCCACAGGTGCCTAGAACTTACCTGCATTTTTCACACTTGATGAGGAAGCCATCTTGGGAGAGACTACAGTGACACCAGCTAGGAATAGATTCTGCCTCAGAAGAGCTCTCAGTCTCACCAGAATTCTCCTCATCGTGAGGGTGCAGGCCATTCAGTTCTGCACGGGGGATGATGGTCTGGACAGGGGGAGAAGCAGGAGGGGTCGGAGGAGGAGGAGCTCCATAATTGTGATCCTAAAAACAAATGTTTGCATCAGTGCTGTTTCAAATTTCAGGGAAGGATAATAGTAAACAGAAAAGGTAGCGGCTTACAGAATTTTATGAGCTTTACTAATGCACTGCAAAGCCTAAGGAAGCTTGCGGGGGTTTCGAAGGCGATCAAAATATACGGTAACAAGGAGCATATACTTAATTTGGGATTCAATCTAAGACTAAGTGAGTACTCGTTTCCTCTATTCAAACCCAAGGAATTTCCCGAAAAATTAACAATGAACACATTTTCCAAGCACCTAAGCAAAAGGGGGGGGAAAAAAATGAAAAGTGGACTTTGGGAAACTTCAAGATTGGTTAAAAATACACACAAATTACACACACGCACACATACACACAAAGCTAGCACATTAGGAAAGGAAAAAGCCCACAAATCAACTGAATCAGGATGGTACACAAGTAGGAGTACATATTAAGATGCAAGAATTTGGCACATTTGTACATAAGAAGCCTTCAAGCAAAGTCATACGGAATCTCCTGATTCTGAAAATATTATGGTTTATGACACACATAAACATAAATATTTTCCTTAAAAAAATAAAAATAAAATAAAAATAGCTCCTAGAAATTCCCCTATAGCTTGCTCTCTCCGTAAAAACCACAAAAATGCCTCTTCGTCTAAAGCCAGCGTTCCAGTTTTGCAGTAAGCTTTCCACAAATACATTTTTGAAAAGAAAAAAAAAAATAATAATTCCAGAACTATACTGCCAATGCCCTCCAAAACAGATCTCTAAGCTCAGTCACGTAGAAGCTGGGAGGGGGGTGGGGGGGGAGAGAAATGGGCTTGATAAAGTACGAATCTACTGCAGATAACAGAGAAGGGTACTCACTGCATAAGGCAGCCCTCGGTAGCTGTGCCTCTGGGAGGCCCCGTAGCCGTGATTTGCATACACATTCTTCTCACTAACAGCTGGGCTAGCTTCGACAGACTCTGGGCTGCAAAAAGGGCCAACAGCAGAACCCATCAGCATAGAGGAAGTGGGCCTTTTTCTCATAATTAGCCAGAACTCAAGAGCTCTCTCGTGAGGCCAAACAATAATCTAGCCGTGAATGGACACACCTTGGGAGAACAGGAGGGACGGAACCCATGAGAGCCATGGTATATATGTATATGTATATATATATATATGTGTGTGTTTTCTGAGGTTTTCGCGGGTGTTTGTATGTAGGTCTTTAGTTATTCGGGTTTTCTCCCGCGTAGAATTAAAAGTACCTTGGCGACGTTTCGACGAAGTCACATTCGTCATCTTCAGGCTGGTGTCTTCAGCTTAGCTGAAGACACCAGCCTGAAGATGACGCCAAGGTACTTTTAATTCTACGCGGGAGAAAACCCGAATAACTAAAGACCTACATATATATATATATATATATATATATATAAGGAAGGGAGAAAAGGCTTTAGGACTAGCATACGGTTTCAAAGTTGGCATTCGGCAAGAGACAACAGGAGCGAAAATGGTACTCGTACCAATCTTTGAATTGTTTGGTTAGTGGCTTACATATTGCACCAGAGGGCGGATTTTGAGTTATTTATACCCTTTCTCAACTACTTGACTTTATTCTTTTGTTAATCACAGCTCTGCGTCCAGCCAGGTTACAAATTTTATAGACCTCTTGACTTTAGCTGACTATTCCTTCCGGGCCGCGAAGGTTTTCTTATTGGCTTCTCCTTAACGCACACGCCTCTAGATACGGTTTCTTAGTGACAGAAATTTGAGTGAAGTTGGCAAAGCATAGGTCCTGAGTATTTCATTTAGTAAAATCTGCAACGTGTAGAGAGAGTATCCAGCTTTCTCACACAATCAATCATGTGAGGAGCAGCATGCAATATCATCATCTCTACCACTGGAGGAAAAAAAAAACCAGCAGGTTTCTACCAGAAGAGGGCAGAAAAAAGCAACTTAAAATGTACAAAACTGGCGGGTTAGTGAAAAGCTCTGGGAGTCCTTGTTACAGAAAAAAGCTTTAGAGGAGGAAGCCAAAGCTGGAAGCTTAGAAGGGGAAGCTGCTCTCTGTGGAGGATGGGAGGGAGAGGAAGAGAGAGAGAGAGAGAGAGAGAGAGAGAAGACTAAGGAGAAGGAGAAGAGCCAATGCTGCAAGCACACATTGGGAATAAAGTCCAGAAAAACGTCCTTTCTGCAACCACAGTACATTTTCAAAGGTTATTCCTATGAAGAAGAGAGCTATAAATACCACAGTTGTTTACTTGTAATCCGGTCCCTCTGCAAAATCTCAGCATCATTTTTATCCGTAATAGTGGCTTTAGTAAATCGAGGCAGAGGTGCTTTTAAAAGCAACTGATAAATCAAATACAATGGTTTGAGGCTCTCTGACTTACTTGACAGTTGGAACCTGCCCAATTACACAATCCTTTATTTTATTGCTTTATCTATATTCATATTTCTTATGCCCAGACATTATGCTAGAAGAATTAGGTAACTTGTCCTGTTTTACAAACTGTGTTTTTATTTGACTGAAAATAATTAGTGGATCATGGCAGGAAGATGAACTATATATATAGCAGGGGGTCTTCGAACTTGGCCCTTTTATGACTTGTGGACTTCAACTCCCAGAATTCCTCAGCCAGGCACTGCTGGCTGAGGAATTCTGGGAGCTGAAGTCCACAAGTCATAAAAGGGAATATGGAGGTAAAAACAATGGTAATTACAAATTGTAGTTGCGGTAATATTACTCTCTAGCACTAAACTTCATATCCTTGTTAGTATAAGGTCCATCAGTCTATAGTTCAGGGGTCTTCAACCTTGGCCCTTTTATGACTTGTGGCCTTCAACTCCCAGAATTCCTCAGCCAGGCATGCTGGCTGAGGAATTCTGGGAGTTGAAGGCCATAAGTCATAAAAGGGCCACGTTTGAAGACCCCTGAACTATGTATAGGCTGATGGACCTTATACCAACAAGGATACGAAGTTGAGTGCTAGAGAGTAATATTACCGCAACTACGATTTGTAGTCACCATTGTTTTTACCTCCATATTCCCAAGAAAAAAGGATTAGGAGGTAATATAAGTGAGTGGCTTTCTTAGTCCTTGCTATACCAGATGACAAGATGCAAAACCAGTGCAACTGGTAGTTGTCCTGAAATGCGACCTCATATGCTCTTGAGCAGCCCAGGAGAAAACACAGCAAATAAAAACGAATCGGAGTGCAACACCCCCCCCCCCATGACAACAACAACAACCAGTATTAACTCATCCTCTGAGCTGGGAAGAAAGATGTGTATCTGAGCTAAATCTAGCATCAATCAGTAAATAGCATCGGTCGGGATTCTAAATGGATTTTTTTTTTTCTGCCGTGCACACAGCTGAAGCTGCACTGGTTAAACCCTTCTTTCTTAACTATGCTTATCAGATTGACGCTATGAAAACAAACCAGAAATAACGTTCGCTCCTAGTTTGCATCCACTAAAAAGAAGCAAGGAAAAGGAACGTTTCTGTGTATGCAGGGACCTCAAAGCCTAGCACAGAGAGAAAGAGAGAGAGAGAGAGAGAGAGAGAGAGAGAGAGAGAGAGAGAGAGAGAGAGAGAGAGAGAGAGAGAGAGAGAGAGAGAGAGAGAGAGAGAGAGAGAGAGAGAGAGAGAGAGAGAGAGAGAGAGAGAGAGAGAGAGAGAGAGAGAGAGAGAGAGAGAGAGAGAGAGAGAGAGAGAGAGAGAGAGGGAGAGANGGGAGGGAGGGAGACAGAGGGAGAGAGAGAGAGAGAGAGACAGAGAGAGGGGGGGGGTTATGTACACATACGGATTAGTCCGCCTTGAGGTCAGACTGTAAAACAGATGGCTTAAACAGGATGTCTGGCTTTCTAAGTTACAGTGCTCACCCCGGTGTTACAAACTGAGGAACACAGAACATCCATCTCATTTTTAGCCCTCTTTCTTTCCTTATGGACACTTCATTTGAGCTCCTGCACCAGGGGCTACCAGAGGATGGTCTTTGCAAGCAACTTAAAATAATCCCCCCTCAAGAGGAAAAGAACGCTACGCTAAACAGAGGGAAATCCACGTTAACAGTTTTGAGATAGGCGACCACATCACACAGCCATCTGTATCAGCAGCACCATGCACGTTAGGCTACAGCAGAGGAAAAGGCGGCTATTGCCAGGGCTCATTTCTTGCAAGACACCTACCGGTATCAACCAAGGCAGGCGACGCAACAGAAGGAGAATTAAAGACCTTTGGGGAAAGCGGTATTCTAGCAAAGTGCTTTTCCTTGAATGCAGTTTGGAGGATGGAGAACAGCTTCTCCTTGGTGTTTCGTCTTGATCTAACTTGTACAGGATAAACCCCTAAACCAGTGGTTCTCAACCTTTTTAATGCCGCGACCCCAACCGGTCGTAAGTCGAGGACTAAACCGGTCGTAAGTCGAGGACTACCCAACCGGTCGTAAGTCGAGGACTTTCCCTGCCCGGGAGCGCCACGCATGCGTGGTTCCGCCCCCTGCGCCGGCCAAGGCGTAGCTGGCAAGCGGCAGAGATGGAGCAGGCCGACCACCAGCTGGCCCAGCCCAAGGGAGGTAAGGCACCCGCCGGAAAAGGGGAAAAAATGGCGGACAGCCTTGCTTGGCGACCCCCATGAAATGGTCGATCGACCCCAAATGGGGTCCCGACCCACAGGTTGAGAACCACTGCCCTACACCGAGGCAGGACCTGTTGCAAAGCTAAACGCTTTCTATTATCCCAGGCTCACCAGCATAGCCAAGATCTGAACACCAAGTTCTGATTCCATGCCCTCCACATGTTCAGACAAGGAAGCACTTACTCAGATCCAGCAGCCATATCTGAATAAGATGTATCTGGTGTAGTGACTCCCAGAGGGATTGCAATGCTCATGACGTTTGTCAGGGATCACGGAGTCCAAAGGGTAGTGACTGGCAGCTCCAAGGGCGGGGAGCAGCCGCAAAGCCTCGGCCAACACGTCACGGACATGGGTAAACCTGCCAAAGGAAAAAAAGAAACAATGCACTGCAGTTGTGTTCTTCCCAGCCGCAGCCATATGATTTATCCTGCAAATCATGCTGAAGTTGAGAAGAGTGAGAGTGAAACAGGAAGTAGTAACTTCAAATGGTGCATGTTGTCTCTTGCCCGACGATCACGCTTACATAATTTTCACTCTAATATGGCCACCAAATTTTATACCCAGATTTTCGTAACGCCTCAGAAAGGAATGCCGAGCAGAATAAAAAACTTGAATGCCTATCTTGCAAATGTCAGCCACAGGAACAAAATTACTAATATGGGGTTAGAAGAGAAGGACCCCCCCCCGAAGGGAAAACAACAAAGATATATATATATATATTGTTTTAGCTCTGACGATGTCAAACGTTTTGTTGACGAAAGCTAGGTAGATTAAACATTTTATATGTATTCTCTTGGCGGTCTGTATTTATTTTGATATTATGATTTTTCCCAAGAGTCGAGTTTTTAGTTTTATCTATCTATCTATCTATCTATCTATCTATCTATCTATCTATCTATCTATCTATCTATCTATCTATCTATCTATCTATCTATCTATCTATCTATCTATCTATCTCTTTCTCTCTCCCTCTCTCCCTCTCTCTCTCTCTCTTTCTCTCTCTCTCCCTGTCTCTATCTATCTATCTCTTTCTCTCTCCCTCTCTCTCTCTCTCTTTCTCTCTCTCTCCCTGTCTCTATCTATCTATCATCTATCTATCTATCTATCTATCTATCTATCTATCTATCTATCTATCATCTATCTATCTATCTATCTAATCTATCTATCTATCTATCTATCTATCTATCTCTTTCTCTCTCTCTCTCTCTCTAATAATAAATTATTATTATTATTAAATTAAATATATGGCGGGAAGAGGGCATCCTGAGTCCCGCCACGTGTCGTATAATTTTGTCTATGTTTGTTTTATGTAGTTTTTTGTTTTTTGGGGTATTTTGGTTTAATTTTCGGTTTATAACCTTCGACACACAGTTAATTTTAAAAGAATTTTAGTAGGGATGGATTTTAGCTCCCTAGGCCAGGCCCGCTTGCTGGAAAAGCCATGTCTTGAGGGCGCGGCGGAAAGTAAGGAGATCCGGAAGCACCCGGATCTCGGGGGGTAGTTCGTTCCAGAGGGTGGGGGCACCCACAGAGAAGGCCCTCCCCCTGGGGGTCGCCAGCCTACATTGCTTGGCCGACGGCACCCTGAGGAGGCCCGCTCTGTGGGAGCGTACCGGCCTATGGGAGGGAATCTGTGGCAGAAGGCGGTCTCGGAGGTAGCCAGGTCTCTCTTTCTCTCTCTCTCCCTGTCTCTATCTATCTATCTACCTATCTACCTACCTACCTACCTACCTACCTACCTATATATATATATATTTCCACAGCATAATTGTTACAAAAATGTAATCGTTTTAGTTGGAAAAATGCACAGAACCACCTTCCGTTTTTCATTCGTGGATGCTGCCGAGAAAAACCGTGACAAATATACAGCATTCAAATATGGCATGAAATATATATGAGAGGTATATTTACAACTAAGTATTTAAAAAGCCAAGTGAGCAGAGGCTCTGCACAACGGGCCAATTGAGAAGAAAGAAGCAAGCACACATGTACGAAAGAGGAAAACAAGTGTGTTGCAAATGGCAGTAAATGAATTCAATCTCTCTGCACCTGCCTCTAAAGAGCTGGGGGGGGGCGGGGGCGGCGGCGGAAGGGGGGGCTGGTCAAGCAAAGGAGAGGCATCTTTTTCTACCTTTCCAATACAAATGCAGCAGGGACTCTGCTGGGAGGACCAGCGCTGCTACCGCAGCACTCTGAACGCTGGCAGGGATTATTCATTCCGGAATGGCAACAGGAATGATGCATGGATTAAAGCAGTTGCGCCGGAGTCATTATTATTTTTTTTTTTAATATTGCCGATTTGAAAATGACAATGGCTGCACGGTCTCAAATTGTTTTGCCAAAACTCTTATTTTGGGTTAAGATAATCGTGCGGAGATCATTAGCCGTTTGTTCACGGGGCACTATTTCTACCCCTCCAAATAGCCTTTCAAGTATTTCCCTCTCTCTACCATCCGCCAATATGCAAGGCTAAAAAAAACGTGTGTCTTGATACGAGGAACAGAAATTGTATTTCTCTTCTGTCCTGGAATAGATCACGGCTTTTCCTCCCAGCTCTGTACAGCCATTTGCACGAGAAGTCAGGGCTCTGGATTCTTTAGTGATTCCTGAGATAAACGGTGAAAGCTGGAACTTCAAACACATCCATCTCTCAGCAAGCGAGACACGTCAGACCCAGCATCTCTTTATCTGATAGGTCAGCCTGGAAAAGGCTGTTATTTGTTCTCCTCTCAGTGAGGGTGGAGACATAAGATCACATCAGCCTGCTAAGAGGGCTGGGAATTCCCTTCAGGACATTTCTGCACAGTTGAGAGCTATCTGCTGCCATAAAAGGAACACCCATGCTCAGGGGCTACATTAGATACTGTTAATATTTCTGAAAAGGAAGTATTTAAGCGGGGCAAGTTAGAGGTGCATTTGTAAATACGTACAAGCAGGCGAAGCTGCAGATTCTTTCTCGGAAAGCTCTCTGTACCTCACTAAAACTGTAAACGTGAACTGTACTAGTACTCCTGAGAAAAATGCTACCTCGTGTATACTACAAGAAAACTGCGTGAAACCCCTAAACATTTCCTTCAGATTTGGGCAAAGAGCCCAAATGTGGTGTTCCCAAAAAGTATCTTTGCAGTCCTACAGAGAATTGGCTACCACCTTGACAGAAAGGCCTGCTCTTATCATCCAGAAATTATCAACTATAATTCATGAAAGGAAGGATATCGAGGATATTAATTCAGAAACAAGTTAAAGGCATAGTATTGTATCGTAGGGGCTTTTGAAAGAAATGATAGTCGAACCAATCTGCATCCCTGGTCAAGCTGGAATTCCAATGATCTACTATGTATCATCAAACCCAACAATCAAAAATAACATGAACTCTGCATGAATGAATGCTCGGAAAATACAAAAGGATAAAGGAGAGAAAAACAACAAGAGGTCTTGGTAAGTAAATATCAAGAGCATTTTCTGGCTCTTGCAAACAGAATGCTGCAGAAGGTACTCTTGAAATATTCAACATTAAGACTGGCTGGTATATAGCCCAACTCAAATTTAGCAAAAAGCTTTACCTGCGCTGCAAAATCAAATTATACAATAGCACGAATAGCAGTTTAGCCAGGCTGGGGATGTACAGGTAATTGATTTGAATAGGGGGAAAAAAAGGTAGCATTAATACGTTCTTAATCAGAAATGGCCCGTATGAACGGACTTTCCATTAACCAGGTAAACAAATATCAAATGTAAAGCTGCCACCTTGTTCAAGATGCAAAACCAACAGAATAGTGTGATCTTTGTTTCGACCTTTATTCTCCATTGGGGGCAAGACGGGAGAGCTGGCTGAAGTGTTTTGTGTATAAAAACAATAAGACAATGGAAGCTGGGTGCCCCTTTGCCTAGAATAGTCTTGAGTTCAAACCAAAAGAGCTGCTCTGTGGGGGATTAATCCCTTTTGCAGAATCCCGCAAGCTGTATCTCTTGAATTCTCCAAAAGAAGGGGGCGAGGCTTTCCGCATAGATTGAGCCCCAGACAGGACAACAGAAGGATGCTCAGTCATTAGTATTCTCTCGTGCCTACGTAATACATTAAGCACAAAGCACTACGTTCCTTAGAAATGTTTAATGTCCAACAAAGGGTGATAACATCCATCTTTAAAAAAAAAAAAAAAAAAAAAGACTGAAAAGGGCATCTTTCCTTTAAAAACTCTTAGGCTGCCAATCACAAGGCCCAGAATTGGACATGGATCCTGATGTATTTTCCCCTGATCGACAACAAAATGACTTGGGAAAAGAAAGGGGAAAAAAATGTTAAGCTATGTACGATTTCCCACAGCGATCTCACTTCATCGCTTGCCATTATTGCAAAAGTCTTATAAAGCAGAGGGGTTGGCAACTCAACATAATTTGATGTAGAGAGAAATCTTAAGCCCGCGTTACAGCATGAATCATCATAAAAACACAGATCTTACCACATGGCAATTTAGTTTCTCATGAAGGGGAGAACTGAGTCCATCCAAAAGATGCTGTCAGGAAAAGCTATTGTGTGTTATGTCATGTATTTCTGAATATTTTTGTGCTGAGTTTATGACTTCAAGGATGTGTATAGCTTTCTTGGCAATAATATGGAAGTGATTTATCTACTTCTGAGAGTTTTTTTCAACTTCCCAATTCAGCAGGCAGCCTTGGGATTTCTTGGGATGTTCCCATTCCCTTCTTAAGATTTTTAAGGTCAATTAATATTGGTTGGTAGCTTAAGCCCATTAAGTTACTAAACATGAATTAATAAACACAAATGTGTAATACATTCAAAAGAAACTCTTCCTCAACATTTTCTCAACTACTATATACAAGTATTCAATGCTATAATGTAAAATGACAAGATTACTTATTTTAAAGTGTTACACAGCTTTCTACAGTAAAATTAAGCCAAGGCAGTTTACAAAATCACAGAATTATTTGGAAATCTTTACAAGTTAAAAAGCCGCCATCCTCATTTCTACTTCATGCTTAATATCAGCAAGTCAATCAAGTGAATCCTGGGATTACATTCTGGAGAAAAAAAATTAAATACAATATTCAGATGTCTCATATTGGCATCCTTACTAGTTCTAGGCTACTTCCACTAACAGTATTTGATGTTGGTAGACACATCTGGAAAATATTAAGCTGAAGATGCAACTCTTTAGTCTGTAACCCACAAAAACTCCCACTAGTAAATTTTAGGGATAAACTGGGCCTCTCGGAATAGTATTACTTTGTACTTATTCAGTAGATGAAGTATTATCATAAAACCAAATTTCATTGCAGTTAATTCAACTTCAGTGTTGTTGTTTTTAAGGCAGATATTATTCCTATTT